ATTCTCTCTCCCTTCTGTCCATTTCAGGTGCAAGTAGGATTTGCCGCCGCCGCCGCCGCCGCCGCCACCGCTGCTGCTGGACACATACAGGAGGAAAGAAAACAAGGTGGACGGAGAATGGAGCAAAAAAAGAAGAGTTGTTTTTTTTTTAAACTGATTTTTATCTCTTGATTGTCGCATCCCAGCTCACGCACAACATCCTCCTCCGTCATGTTGGAGGTAATCCCGTCAGTGTCTCGGCCTGAAGTAACCCCCCCTACAGATAAGACGGGAGCTTTGCAGTGGCAGATTTTATTTTGCCAAGGCATAAACACGCTCCCAAATTAAAATCAGAAAGAGTGCAAGGAGAAATTCAGGGTCACGATCTGTGAAGATAATTGAAATTGCACCCCCACCCCTCAGAAGTGAATTTCAAATTGCTTCTTTCTTTTCACTTCCCACGCTGATGAATGAATGATTTTACAATAGAATTACAACACAGCACAGGAGCTTCATCTGGCGTATGCAGAGACGAGCCTCAGCGCACAAACACCATCAGCTTATAGGTGAGAGGCTGATTTTTAAAAATGCTGTGAACAGTCATGGTTAGTGATCAAACGTACGACGGCGTTCTCAGCATGCTTCCTTTTAAGGTGGTTTTTCTTCAGAAGGACACAGTTCTTAAAATCCCAGACTTCCCTTTATATGGAGGTAGATTAGACGTGCCTGTATTAACCAACAGTGCAGTAGAAGTACAAGACCTGAACTGTCCCATGATGTCACAACCTAAAGAGTAAGCAGTACTGGCAGCCAATCACAGTAGCAGGTTTTGGGTTGAACAAACTTCCCCAGCATATGCAGCATGGTAGATATACAGTAGATCGCACTGCCCTGGTTCCTGAACGCTTCCTCTTGGTCTCCCTGTGTCCCAGATCCATGTACAGGACTAGCACACTGCGTACTGATGTTGAGTTGGAAGAGTCCACCGATTCAGCGCTGTCAGATGGGCAGAACCAGAGAGATCGTCTTTTTAAGGCCGCGTTCATACTACAAACCGAAGTGACCCGAATCTGATTTTTCTTTGCTCATGTGTGACTCAGATCTGATTTGTTTTTAACAGTGTGGACAAACCAAGTCACACGGTATCCAGTTTGGATTGGTGCCACTTTCACACGTCAGATCTAGAGGTATCGTTTTGAATTGAAACTTAAGAGTCCTGAGCGTCACAGTAAAGAAGAGGTTTGATCTGTATTTTAAGTTTAGATAACTTCCCTTTAAGAGGAGGACCTGGAGGATTGGCTGCTTGACATCACTTCCCTTTAACAGATCGAAAATCCCCTTTAGGTGGGAGTTTGATGTGTACCTTTCGAAACCTTCCCCTCAGAAGGAGGCGTGGTTTTGTTAAAAGTCCTGAACTTTCCCTTTTAACCAGTTTCACAATCAGCAGTGTATCTGTAAATAATCTGTAAATTCCTGAAACCCCTGAACTTCACTCTGAAGGAAGCAGCAGCCGTCTCGTGAGAGGGGGATTAGCAGGTTGTGAACTCGAGCGGACGGATGTTTGTGGCTGGGGTGATGTTGTGCGTGACCTGTGTTGCTGTGGAGAAAAGGAGGAAGATGAGGAGGAGGAGGAGGAGCGCTGAATGTGTGCCTGCAGCAGCAGTCTGACTGTACACAGCGACCGATGGAGCGACAGACAGGGTGGATTTAAAACAAACAAGAAAAAAAAAACAAACAACAAACAAAAACGCCGAGTGCCAAAGCTGGGATCTGCTGCATTCTCACTACACTTTAAAAAAAAAAAGGGGGGGGGGGTTCTTCTTCTTCTTCTTCTTGATGTAAATAGGATATATACGTTTGTTTGTTTTTGTTTTGTTTTTTCCTGCATTGCTACCGATTTGTAAAATTTTGCGGAAGAAAAAAAATTTGTTACATTTTGTAAAATGGGAGCAATTCGTCCCCCCGAAACCCTCCTAGTTTTTTTTTTTGTTGTTTTTTTAAAATCCCTCTCTCTCTCCCAGTTTCTCTTGGCTCTTTTACTTCTTCTTTTTGTTTTTGTTGATGGACTTTTTTTTTTTTAAAGTGTGTGTGCGCAACGTTTTTTTTTCCCCTTCCTTTCTTTCTTTCTCCGTCTCTCTTTCTGTTTTTGTACTGAACCAGAGTGGAAACCACTACAAAAAAAAAAATAACTTAAAAAAAAAAAAAAAAAGACGGACCAGTTGGCAATACTTCAGTCACTTCTTCTTCATCTCACCGGCACTGGACTTCCGCCCGCCACTTCCCCGCTGAGAGGAGAGGAGAGGTGGGAGGCGGAGGAGGAGAGGAAGGAGGGAGGAAGAGGGGGGACTTCGCTTCACATCAAATCAGATTTAAAAAGCAAAACACAAAAAGCACCTTTGGACCTTTTTTTTTTTTTTTTACTGTGCTGAAGTGAAGTCAAGTGCTATTATTATTATATTATTATTACATTATTATTATTATTATTGTAGCCACGCTGTCTGAAACCCTTTTTTTTTTTTTTGAAGAAAAGCAAAGGAGGAAAAAAAAAAACCACAGAAAAAAACAACACTTAAGCCAATCTGCACTTCTTGTTCCGACGAACATGCTTGTATGACCAAGTGACTGTTGTGGATCTTTGTTTAAACCCGATAAGGAACAAACAAACAAACAAACAACAACAAAAAAGCAGTTAAGAAACTGTCAAAGTGGTTGCAAAGCGCAGAAGGATACGACGGTAACGATCACATGAACACACACTCTACCACAGTAAAAACCCAGAATCATGCTGCCTGAGTCTTTAATCTCTCTCTCTTTTTCTCTGTGTTTCTCTTCCTCGCTCTATCACTTTGTCCCTTCTCTCACTTTTCATCCTTTCTTTGTCTCTCTCTCTGTATTCGCCCCTTTCTTCTGTTTCCTTTCTTTGTCCATTGATGTTTTTTTTTCTCTCTCTCTCGCCCTGTTTGTCGTCCTGCACACCATCATACACAAATGTAATAAACAAAAACAAACAAAAAAAATATATAAATAGCCTTTTATTCAATACATAACTACATGTTGGCTTGGTAGGCTTAGTTGAAACTAGTTCCATTCCGACAAAAAAGAATAATAGTAAAAACAAAATATGAGCTTCTTTATGTATTGCTTCTGCCGCTGTAGTGTCCTGGTCAGATTTAAAGATGATAAGACTACATATATCTGAAATACTGTATTTACAAATGCATACCAGGGCTGGTCTCAACAACAAAAAAAAACAACAACAACACAACAACAACAGGGGGGGGGGGGGTTTTCAACTCCGTCCACTGGGTGACTAATCGATAGCTGTCGGAGGGTTTTGAAGCTCCGGCTGCTGGTTTGAGTCGTTTCCAAATGCTTGTTTCTTCGCTTAAAGTCTTCATAGTTTTTTAAACTCGTAGCGTTCAGCATCGCTAAAGCTCTCAGTTGCGCTGCTGCACGTCCTTCTGCAAAAAAAAAACAACGAAAAAACTAAAAAAAAAAGAAAGCAGTGCTGTAAAGAGAGGTCTGGTGGACGCACAGCCTTAGAAAGCTTCCAAGAGACTTTTATTTTTGCAAGTGTATAGTTTTAATTGTATATTTTTCTGATGAATGATTGAATGTATTTGCTTTGAGGAGTTAAGTAAATGTTGTGAGGTTTACTGTCTGAATGTCTGAAGCGGAGAGAGTCGAGCACACTAGTGGGAAACTGCGAGGAGTCTTCTTATCAGCCAACACTGAGATCTGGCTGGTGAAACGGCAAAAAGCAGACATTTTAATTTTGAAACAACTGCTCGTGACCGCAGAAATAAAAAGCCATACGTTTACTTCTTTCCTGGAAGAAAATCTGCAGGCGACAAGAGGTTAGATCATTAATATCTAAAAACTGTGACACATTATCTGACAAAATGGCTGCTTTCTTAAAAGTAGTTGTTAAATATTTCATACGTCCTTCACAGTCTTGAGCCCTTTACTTCGAAACCAGTAACATTTTAGGAGATGGATCCCCTTTGTTTTTTAAAGGCCGGGTCACGCCAGCATGTAAAATAGCAAAACGCTGCGGATAAAATCGTTGGTGAGTTTACACGGTTTTGATCTTCCTGGCTCTCCTTTTTCCCTCGAGCTATCACGTCTTAGTAGCTTCCCGTTAGCTTCCGAGCTAACTAGCTTGAGAACTGACAGAACAACACATTCTCACTCCCGACTCGTCACATATTGACGCTTGGTTAAGGCCCTTTAGCATCGCTGTTAAGACGTTTAAGGCTCCGCGGTCAAGTTAGCAACGCTTAGCAACAACAAATATGCAACGTCCGCTAACCATTTTGAAACGGCACGTTATTAAAGTTGTGAACGTTGCAGTTTGGTTAGGTTTAGGCAACAAAACAACTTGGTTAAGGTTCAGAAAACATCATGGTTTAGGTTAAAATAACTACGTAGGTCAGTTAACACGTAAGTTAGCTAACGTCACTTGCGTAACGTACGTAATTTACGTTGACATTTTGTTTCACACGGGACACGATCCCCGCTCTCCCGGTTTAAAGTCCGGGTTCTGGCCCTCCATCCACCTCCTTACTCAGGCCTGTTAAATATCATATACCTGCCTTTACTGTCAAAACCTGACGCTACAGGGCTTCCCCTCACTGCGTTGAACCATGACGCTAAAGGGATCCCCAGTGCGTTACAAACTGACGCCGCTGGGTCTTGATCATGCGTCCATATCAGGAGTGGGAACGGGTTGGACAGGAAGTAAGAGAGCTCAGAGACCCACTGTGACTGAATAAGCTTCGATGATCTTTGGTGTTATCGAGGGCTTGAAGCAGTGAAGGTCTGTGTCACAGTTTCAGATGTGTTCACGCTACAGCAGAACTCATTGGCTGACCTCCGCCGGCTCAGGTTTTGATGCTGCAGGCTCCATGTTGGAGAAATATCCAGTACGACTAGTGTGCACGAGTACCTCCTTTGTTTCATGTAAAGTTGCTCTGTTTGCTCACTTTGAAACGTGTCTGTCGCGTGCGCCTGCTTTGCCCAAAAAAAAAAAAACTTTCAGCGATCGCCTGACAGGATCAATTTTCACGACTGGTTGACGGCGTTTCGGCTTCACAGTTTTCCCTTGACTCTGATTGTACAGGTGGTCGGTGCCGTCTGCTTTTTCCATGAACTTTGTGGTCGACCACCTGATTTTCTTAGTTTTAAGTTTGATATCTTGCCTCCAAACGGCGATTAAAGTAGATTTTTAACCTTCATTTACAACCTATAAACTTCCCTTTCTGTCAAAACAACGCCATTTTTGATTGGTCTATAGACTTTTCTGCCCCGTCAGCTCTTTTTCTTCCTTCTCGTTTCTTCACATTTATAGCTATAAATATAAATCAAAGCGAGGTTTTATGGGGAATGCTGACCCCTCTAAGATTTGTACTTAATGTACTACATACTTGACTTATTCCCAACTGTAACTACAGAGTTTGTGCTACAAACCGCTCTTGTCGGATCCATCCTCAGTTGTCAAGTAAACTTCAGGGGTCTTTATCCGTCCTCAGTCTTTAAATCGCACTTTGGCACTTGGCTCAAACGTGTCACATAGGAAACGTGAACAAAAATGTAGAGATACCTGCCGTGAAAGGTGAAAGCTCTGATTGTTTTTTGATTTAAAAAAAATAAATAAAAAATTGTCACTTTTTAGGGCTCGAGTTAATCAAAACAAAAGTATTTTCTCCTCAGATCACTTTGTTAACGGTTGATTTAAACAAAAAAGAAAAACGTGTTTTGAGGCCGTCGTGCTGTATTTAAATGCAAACTTTCTGCAATGCAAATCCACATGCTGTAGGTGCTGACAGGGTTCAAATCTAAATGGATAACTGATGTACAATCTTTTGCAAAATTACAATCATGGATAAAATCCCAAACCAAAATAATGAACCAGAAATTCTTTTGGTTTCTTTGTTCTTGTGGTTAAACTAGACGGCCTGGGTTTGGCCATATTTTAATCAAAAGATGGTTTTTTTTGAGAGCTCTCTGAAGTCAGACATGTTTCCTTTGTAGTTTTAAACGCTGACTGATTTTAAAAACTAGCAGACTTTTCTACACGCCAACCGCTGCTCACGAGGGGAGACTTTCACGGGATATTCGAGTTGTTAACTCTCTGAGCAGAGTAGCGTCTCGTCTTCTGCGGTTTTCCCCACTAGAGAGCAGAAATACGAATCACAGTTGAGCCACAAACCCAACCCGACTGCGAGGTGCGAGCAGGAGGAGAGTTTATGATTTCTTTTTGGGGAAACCAGGTGCACTAAATGTCTTTCTGAGGGGAGTTGAGGCCAGCCCTGCTTCATAACTGAGGTTCTGCTTCTTCTACTACTGCTACTATCAAACAACCAGCCCTGGGCACAAAAACAGGCCTGAACACTGTTTCAAATCCTCCCTCCAGTACCAGAGGTGCGTTTGATTTTTTTAAATTCATATACCAGCATTTTTAAAAGCCAAACCCAAAGTGGAGCACCCGGCTTGTTTCCGTTTAGTTCCCGACGTGACGAAGACACTTCTGTTTATCACCTCGGGACCCAAAAAGAGGCTGCGATTCCTCAGTTTGGGCACCGAGTTGAAAAGTGTTTTCTGACAAAAATAGCCATCGATATTTGTTTTTACGTTGATATGAAAAGTATTCAAGCAAGTTTCTGTTGCCCAGGTCAGCAAAACAACCTGTTGATGTCTGCTGTATTTCAATAAAACACAGCCTTTTTCAAAGGGTACACCTCTTCACTTTGTGTGCGTTTCTGTGTTGTGTGGTCTACATGCACCTAATTCACCCACACTGTTATCTGTATATGACGGTTTACCACATTACACACCTTCTTAGCACACGTGAGTTGTGCGATCGGCACTTTTCAAATCAAACTTGTTTTCCGCAGTAGATCGAAATATTTTTCAGATTATTTTTCAGATCTCTCTGATAAAAAGGGTATCCGTCTGTGGGAAGTTGCTCTCAACGTTTTCAAAACAAATATTTGAAATCACCTCAACTCCAGTCTTACTTTCTCCAGTTTAATTGCAACTTAATCAACTATAGACAAAAACATAATCAACAGTTTTGATCAATCAGTAAATTGTTTAAGTAACTATGGACCTGGTTCTGCGTAGTTACTTTTCATCAGTGCAATATCTAATTTTCTATTTCTACACCACTGAATAAACATGTTTAAACATTTCAATAGATTTCAAATTGGAACAGTATATTAGTCCTTACAGAGTTAAGAAAGGATGAGATGAAACTCATCCTCCCATCTGACTCTGGGTCAGACGGCAAATTGAAGTTTGTCCCAAAATGTTGGCTATTCATGATTCCAGGTAAATATTGTTCACAACCTCTGGTTGGGCTCATGTCATCCTTCTTACTTTCAGCTCTCCAAAATCTCGCTGGTTGACTTTGACCCAACTGTTAACCAGTGAAAATAAGTCTTACACTGAACTGCTGGCTTGTTAACTGGTTAGTATTGTTCCAAGCTACTTTTCTTGTTCATATATAGTTTTCTGTTTTTACCTGGTAGTTTTGGTTTTGTACCAATAGTTTCCGCATTTCAAAAGAGCCTCTCTTATGTCTGGGTGTGTGACTCCAAAGCCGGTGGGGTGATTAGCGTAGCTTAGTTCACACTACACGATTTTAAGCTCGATTTGCCGATTTATTCAAACCGGCTAGTTACCAAGCTAAGAGTTAAACGGGACTCATTTTTAACAAACATTCTAGATACGTTACTAACTTTTCATCTTCTTCATCATGCCGTCAGATATATGGTATTGTATAGCGAGCAAATGGTCAGTAAAAACAATCACTATAACTAGATAGCTACAGGTAATTGGCAAAGTCAAAACAAAGCTTAGGTTAATGAGTCTAGCATGCTAGCCACAGAAGCTAATTTTACAGCCACAACTTAAGCAACTGTAAGAAAGTATTTAAACTATTTATCAAGTATTTTATCAAGTAATAACCATCAAATGTATCTACTTGCTTTGTCGTGAAATGTATAAAATCACTGCAACATTAGCTTGCTGATGTCAATGTGCGTCATACAAACGAGCTAGCAAACATTCACAGCACACACGTATGGTGTGTTCAGGTACACCTCGGAAAAGCTTTCGACTTTCGATGCAGTGCTGGAACCAATGGCTGTAAAGCTAATTGACCCTTCACAAAGCCACGCCCCCCCTTAGTTCCTGTTGCAGAGTCTGACAACTGTCTAAAACTGCACTGCCTGGAGAAATATTGTCTAATTTTTGGGAAATGCGATCTCAGAAAGAAGCAGACAGTTTTGCAGTTGCGTTGTTCATTTGAAGGTTGTATTCAGGCTCAAACTGACGTGAAAAAATAAAGACAGAAGCTAAAGCCCACCGATCAGAGAGTAAAAGTGAACCACCGTCTTACCTGGCTGTTGAGAAAGAGGACAACAACATTAAGGACCAACACTGTTCCTGTACAGCAGGGTAGGTCTCTGTTCACTATTACAATCATTAAAAAGCAGAACAGTAGGGCTTTATTACGTTACATTCAGTAGGAAGTTAGCGTTCGCTAATTAACATTACATTAGGAACAATCCACAGCCGAAATTATTCTGGATTTGGAAAGGAAATAAATAGAATTTCTCCTTTCAACCTATCTGGGTAGCGACTGTAACTATTACAAGATGCCCCAGGAACAGCGTTTGACCATAACTTGGAAAAATATGGCAAAAGAATGCTAGAAAATGACTCATTTTGCATCAGAGTCAATGGAGCGCAGCCATAAAAGTGTCGGACCTCAGTTAGAGTGAGGCCAATACTGCGCTGTGATTGGCCAGCCGTGTGTTCGGGTCGCAGCTTAGCGAAGGGTCAATTACAACATGGCTTTGCCCGATTTAGCTGCAGGGACAAATCGCTCTACACAAACAGAAACATGCTAGAACTGTCCACCAAGCACGTCTGTGCAACCTCACCGAGACGGCAAAGCTCATGAAAGTGACCACATTGTTGAAGCACGTTGTTACGGACCATATATAGTACGTTGTGGCAGAGGGATGGGTTAAATAGTTGGTAAAGTAAAAGAGTTTCTGACATACATCAAGTGACTTACATTAACCCAAACCATGATGTTTTCTAAACCTAACCAAGTAGTTTTGTTGCTTAAATAAAACTGTTGTTAACGATCAGTTTTGTCGTTTAGATATGAGGACACGTTTTGTGCTAAGCTAACTGTCCTTCTATTAAAAGTCCAGCTGAAGTCACATTAGTCCTCCCGATCCTTGTAACAGCAGCAGTGGATGATGATGATGATGATGATGATACTTAATCAGGATCGAGACAACCTTAACAACACAGCGATGACTTGAAGAAGAATAGAGGAGAAGGAATAGAGGACTAAAAAAGCCACGTGGAGAAAGAGGCGTGTTTGAATTCATGGGACGAAACGAATAGACGGAGAGAATCTGCGGAGGCCTCATGTGACACAGGGCACGGAGGAGGTAGACAGAAAGGAAACAACAAGAAGGAAACATGTAATTTTTGTTTGACATTCATTCAATCATAAACTCCAAACATGTTTGACCTCCTGCTCTCTGCATCCACAATTCAGACGGCTCCACTGAAATTGGGCGAGCACATTGGGAATCAGCTGGTAGACCCACTCTGGTCACAGAGAGAGGGAGCTGATGGACATGGGAGGAAGGGAAACGATTTTCTAGAAGAAGAAAAAAACATAAAAAAGCAGCCTTGAAACTGTTGACGCCTGATGCAACTGTAAAAGATTTGGGAGGCGTTTCCTGCCTGCCGCTCGGCTGTTTAGCATTTGTTTTTTTTCCATCCCGCTCATTCTGGATGTTCTCCACGTCGCTGAGCCCATCGCAGGCAAGCTGTAATATCTGGTCGGTATTCTCAAAGGATATCACGGTGCTGGTGTTAATTTAAGATAAGCTCTGCCTTTGGAATCACAATGAGAACGAAGGGGGCTGTAAAAAAAATTAAAAATGAATAAGAATAAAGGTGAGGAATCACATTTCGGGCTGATAGCGGCACAGAGCGGATTGAAAGCTGTCGTGTCCTCAGAGCGCTCGTTGTGTGTAGGTGTGTATTTTAGTGGTGTGTGTCTGTCTAAATATTCATATTGTGTGTCGAGTGTTTCAGCTTGTGTCTTGGCAGATAAATCGACCTGCGAAAGACGAACATTTCTCCAGAAAACACTTTTTGTGTATGATGCTGTGTTTGCGCCCCATGGGAAATCAGGTAAATATGAGTTCTCTACTTGAAACACTGTTTTTGTCAGCTTCCCAGTGGTAAATAGTGCATGAAAATTCAAACCT